GCGGGGAATGGCGAAGGCGACGGCGGCGACGGCCTTGCCTGGGGGGGGGGGGCCGCAGGCCGCCTTCGCGGCCCAGCCGGGCCTGTTGCGCTCCGGCCCTGTCGGCCGCGCCGGAGGCGGCCTCGAAGGGGGCCGCCCCGAGGGGGCGGGCGAGGCTGGAGGAGGGAGGGGGGCATGGCATGGGGGAGGAGTGTCGGTCGGCGGCGAGCGAGGGGGGGACGCGAGAAGGAGAAGGTCTTTTCAGAGGGCGGCGGGACTTCTCAGAAGCCCTCGCGCCTTCTGAGAAGCTTTCCGTGTCTTCGGGGAAGGCTTTCGCAGTGTCCCGGAAGGCCAGAGGACTTCCAAGCCCTCTGAGAAGGCCAGTCCTTTCTGATTTCCCCCCCAGGGCTCGCCGCCAAATCAGGGGGAAGAGGGCGGTGCCTGCACTAGGCCTTGCAGGATGTCCGGCTGTCCCTGTCGAGGGCCCTGCTGGCTTGGGACAACTCCTCCCCCCTCCGCGCGCAGGGCGACGGAGGTGGACGAGGGTCCGTCGGTACTCGGTATTGCAGCAGTCTGCGCGCCTTTCTGCTGGTGGATGCGGGAGGGAGGGCGGAGGAGGTGTGAGAGGGGGGGGAGGAGGAGAGCGATGGCAAGGAGGATGAGCGATGAGCGGCATGAGGAGGAGGAGGGAGGAAGGCAGGGACGGAGGAGGGGTGGGGTGGTGGAGGAGGGGAGGAGGCCCTTCCCCCCGCCCTCCGCCCTTCTCTTCCCTCTCCTCCCCCGGCCCGCCCCCCTCGTAGTCTTCCTCCTTCGTGTTTTCTTTTTTCTCCTCCCCCTCCTACTCCTCCTCCGCGTTCCCTGCCTTCTCCTCCTCCTCCTCCTCCTCCTCTTTCCCCTCCTCCCCCTCCTCCCCCTCCTTCTCTTCCTCCTCCTCCTCCTCTTTTTCCTCCTCCTCCTCCTTTTCCTTCTCTTCCTCCTCCCCCTCCTCCTCCTCCTCCTCCTCCTCCTTCTCCTCTCCCTCCTCCTCCTCCTCCTCCTCCTCCTCAGACTTGGCTCTGCGGCAGTTGCGGTTCATAGGCCAGGCCCTTCTCAGTAAGAAGCTGGCCAGTCAGCGCACTCACATCACACACACGGGCAGGGCTCTCCGTCGTTTACAGAGGGATCTTGTGCCTGAGAAGTGTTCAGCAAGGCTGAGCGTGCGGCCTGGGCCTAATTATATCTAGACTCGCTTCGCGACCGCTCTCATCTCATCTCCAGGGGGCCACATCCGATCTCATCTCATCTTTAGGGGCCCCCCACGATTTCTGAGGGGGAGGGTGGGGTTCACTTCGCTCGAGAGCTCCCGAACGAAGTGAACCCCACCCTTCCCCTCAGAAATCGTGGGGGGTAGGGGTAGGGCTCGCATGTGGCCCCCTAATCTCACCTCCTCCTTCCTCCCCTCACCCTCCCTGGCGCCGTCGTGCCATAATATCGACCATGGGACGGATCGCGTGATGGACCCATGACAGCTGGAATGGTGAGAATCCGGTGCTCCTGCCACACTATCTGGACGGAGGAGTGCTGGAATGGTGAGAACCCAATGGCCGGTCCACACTTTCTGGACCTAGGGCACCGTGCCAGATAAGAATCTTATGCGCCTGCCACTCTTTCTGGTCCTAGGACAACTGGAACGGTGAACATCTTGAGCCCCTGCCACACTTTGTGAACCTAGGACAGCTGGAATGGCGAGAATCCTATGCCCCTGCCACACTGCGTGTACCCAGGACAGCTGGGATGATGAAGATCCGATGCCCCTGCCACACACACTATCTGGACCCATGGCAGCTGGAACTGTGAGCAGACAATGGCCCTGCTACACTTTGTGGACCTACGACAGCTGGAAAGGTGAGAATCCCATGCCCCTGCAACAGTTTCTGGACCTGCGACGGCTGAAATCGAGATACAACAACGTGTTGGGCTTCAGTTCTGTATCTGCGAGGATTAGACCGGAGCCAGACAGCTGGACAGTTGGAATGGTGAGAATCGTATGCTCATTCCACAATCCTTGGGCCTGCGACGGGTGACATCGAGCCACAACACCATAGCGAGTCTCATTTCTGGGTTTACGAGGACTGAAATCGTACCAGAACGTGTGGCCCCCGCTGTAGAGATTCTCGGGGGAGGAGTCTTTTAATTGAGCTAAGATCGGGCCAAAACACCAGAGTGAGCCTCATTTCGGGATCTGCGAGGGCTGAAATCGAGCCCGAACACCATAGTGAATCGATTCTGGACCGCCGCTAGACCAGTGAGCTGCCCCCTCAGCCCCCCCCTGTGTAGATTCTGGTGTGAGGAAAATTTGAGCATTATTGTTAGAATCCATCAGCGAAGCGCTACTAAGGACAAAACGATGATTTGCGTCCTCTCGCCGAGGCCTTTTGGGGCGTCTTGGGTGCTGGGGTGGCTTCTTGGGGTCTCTTGGGGGTCTCTTGGGAGCCATTCGGGGGCACCCTCGGGGGCTCTTTTGGGGGCCTCTTGGGGCCTCCCGGGCACCTCTCGGGGCCGTCTTGGGGCTTCCCTGTGCGCCTTGGGGGCCATCTTGGGGCCATCTGGGAGAAGAGCGATCAGAGGAGGGGGGGCTCCTTGATTAACCCCCCCAGCAGGCCAACATGTGGCCAACACCTCAGCAACATCGCCACATATCCGCTTGAGGCAGCCGGGGCCGCGGCGGTGGATCGAGAGGCGCCCGTTGGCCTCCGGCGGTCTTCGGCCTCCTCGGGGCCCCCAGCGGCCCCCCCCGCGGAGAACAGCCTCTGGGGACTAGTGCAGGCCGCCGGAGGCCCCCCGCGAGGCCCCGTGCGCGGGGACACGGCCGCAGACCACGCCTGCACCGACCCCTGCGCCGGGCCCCCCGTGGGCCCACGCCCCTCAGCGAGGCTTCGCGCAAGCTTCTCTTCCGCGCCGGCGTCGGCACCCCCAGGCCCCGCAGATGTCAAATGTTGACGCCGAAGCGCGCGACTCGATTTTTCCCGCAGGCGTCCACGGACACCGCCGCGCGCGCGAGATGGAACATGGAAGTTGGGGGCGCGGGGGGGTGGGAAACCTGCGTGAAGTTTCTCGCGGAGGGTTGCAGGCGGGACGGGTGCCGATGCCCCCCCCTCCACGGCCAGGCCTGCGGTGCAAGCAAGCTGATCCTCGCTCCTCGCTCCTCGCTCCTCGAGCCTCGCTCCTCGCGCCTCGCGCCTCGCGCCTCGCGCCAGGCCAGCCTCTCAGCGCCGGCGCCGCCGCGTGGGCACCCGCCGCCTCGGCGCCGGAGGCCCCGCCGGGCTGGGGGGGCCGCCGCCGCCGCCGCCGTGCGCCGCCCGCCGCCCGCACCCGCCGCCCGCCACCTGCCGTCGCGCCCTAGTCGCAGCGGGCCTGGGCTGATGTCGGGCGTGTCCCCCTACAGGGGGATTTTCGACGAAAAATAAAAAATACCCCCAAAATACCCCCAAAAGGCAACACAAATATTAAAAAAATAGTCCCCAGACTATTTTTGGAGTATTTTTTGATTATTTTTGGGGTATTTTTGATTTTTCATCGAAAATCCCCCTGTAGGGGGACACGCCCGACAGAAGCCCAGGCCTCCCAGCGTCTCGAGGAGCTCAGGGCGGAGCCTTCTCGCCGAGTTTGGCCTCCAAGAGTCCTCGGCGGGTCATCAGGATTGTCCGAAGCCTCAGTATCGTTCATCCGACCCCCATCCCCACCCTCATCCCCTTTGAGACCCACACCAAATTACCACCCCAGTTGGGGATACACCCCTCGAAACCCGAAGGGATGTAGGCCCATCTAGGGGCCCAGGCCACGCCGCGGGGAATGTGGATCGGATAGACGATACTCAAAACCGGCCCGGGCCCCCGGGAACGGGGTCCAGACCTGCGGGGGCCCTGCGATGGGAAGCGCAGGACGTCGCATGTCTCGCAAGGGCCACGTTGAGACAGCGGCGGCTCGCCCGCCCGGGCCAGATCCGCTCGGCGTCGGTCCCGGGACCCCTCCGGGCAGGCGATTGTGAAGGCCTTATGGCCGGTGCCGCCGACCCTGAAGGTTTTGGCCGTCGATGGCGACGGCATGCGTGATCACAGGAAGGAGCTAAAGGACAACGTGACAGGGTAGGCGGAGGAAGTGTGGTAGTAGTAGTAGTAGTAGTAGTAGTAGTAGTAGTAGTAGTAGTAGTAGTAGTAGTAGTAGTAGTAGTAGTAGTAGTAGTAGTAGTAGTAGTAGTAGTAGTAGTAGTAGTAGTAGTAGTAGTAGTAGTAGTAGTAGTAGTAGTAGTAGTAGAGGAGGAGGAGGAGGAGGAGGATGAGGAGGAGGGAGGAGGAGGAGGAGGAGGAAGAGGAGGAGGAGGAGGAGGGGGAGACACGAAAAGGAGATGGAAAAGGTGGCAAACGACGCTCAGGAGGAGGAGGGAGGTGGTATTCTGACCCGGGACCCCCCCCAGGACCCCCCCCGGGATCCCCCCCAGGACCTCCCCCAGGCTTCCCCCGGGACCCCCCCCCGGGCTGGGGAAGGGAACAGAGGGAAGGGGAGACCCTTCGAGTCAATTTACTTTACGCAGGAGAAAGAGATGATGAAGGAGGAGGAGGAGGAGGAGGAGGAGGAGGAGGAGGAGGAGGAGAAGGAGGAGGAGGAGGAGGAGGAGGAGGAGGAGGAGGAGGAGGAGGGGGAGACGAGCGAGAAGGAGACGGAGAAGGTGGGAAACGGAAGGAGGCACGGACGAGAAGAACAACCCATTCCACACGCCGACAGGGTCGGCGGATTTTGTTGCACCGTCGGGACGGGCTGTTAATCTATGCGAGCTGCCAGACAGCCGGCCATCCCCTGATCCGCTCGAAGAAGTTGGCACATGAGCTCGGGCGCGAGGCTTGAAGAAACGATTCGGGCAGGTGATTTCGTTCCACCGTGGGGACGGGCTGTTGAACCATGCGAGCTGCCAGATATCAGGAGCGAGACAAGGACATACACGTACACGAATCCACGCTGGTTTCGAGAGTTCGCATTGCGCGAAG